ATTTGATTAATGGGTATACACCCTAAATATCTAGAGTACAGCTGACTGACTTTTTTTATGTATAAAAAGTTTAGGTTTGTGATTCCTTATAAAATTAACTTTCAAGATAAATAGTAAAATGATTGATTTTTTTTTTTGTAAACGTAATATGCAGCCTGCCAACAAAAAAGTTGGCTGTGAAAAAAAATACTTCCTGCTTGCTCATGTTCTGTTAATCTGTAACAAGTTATTTAAATGTAAATGTATATGGGTTATTGGGTGACTTTGTTTTTGATCAAGTAAAGAATATTAAAAAAAAATGTTTTAACCTGTACTCTGTAGGAATATAGCAGAATCACTGTACAGGGAAGATATTAGAGCTCTTGAATTGCTGTGTATTGCACACAATGTATAATAAAGGACTACAGTCATGGAGGCATGAGGTGGTCTCCTTAGTAAGACATATAAATTAAGATTAGGGACCTTGGTACGAGGAAATACTTCGTGTAACAATCAATAAATATGACTTTGTATGGCTGTTTGGGGTCCAGTCCAGTTCAGTCTATCAGAAGAGGCTAGACCTTTCTGTGTCACATGGGCCTTAAAATTTCATCTTGGAGTGCCTTGTTCTTCAACCAACAATGAAAGAACATGGGAAGAATACAGAAGAATAGAGAATAAAGAAGGAAATCATCAAGAGAGAGCATGAGTGTCTTTTTCCCTAAGCCCCTTAGAAAAGTCTATTAAGTGCCAAACAGTGGATTCCTTTGGAGCCCTGCAGTCCTTTTCTAGCCTTGTGCTGCTGGAGGCTGGCCCCACAGATACCAATAATGCCCTTTCCTGTCCTTTGTTTTTCCATCCTGTATGTACACATGTATACAGAGAGGTCAGAGGTTAATGTTAGTGTCTTCACTGATCTTCTCCACCTTATCCGTTGAGGCAAAGTCTCTCGATAGAACTCAGAGCTTTGCCCATATGACTAGTTTTGCTAGCCATCTTGCTCTGGGATCTCCTGAGTGCTAGGTTAGCATCACCAGGGACACATACACACCCCAAATCTATATAGGTCACAGAGATGGGAAGTCTGGTCTTCATGCTTGTGTGGCAACTCGTCTCCCCAGGCCATGCATCCTGTTCGTTACTTAAAACTCTGACTTTACGTCTTCTTAGGTTTCTGTGATGGTTAGCATTGACTGTCAATGTAACAGAATCAAGAGTCCCTGGTGAAATGAACCTCCATGCATGACTGTGGGGGATCATCTTGATTGCACTGATTGATGTACAAAGACACACCTTAACTGTGCCTCGATTTCCCCACCATGAGGGGCTGTACCTGGAGCTGTGAGCAAAAATCAATGCTCTCTCCCTTAAGTCGCCTTTCTTTAAAATTTATTTTATGTGTATGGGTATTTTGCCTGCATGTATGTATGTGCACCATATGTGAGCAGTGTCAGTGGGAGCCAAAAGAGGGCACTGGATCCCCTGGAACTGGCGTTAGAGACAATTGCAAGCTACCATATGAGTGCTGGGAATTGAACACAGTCCTTTTCAAGAGTGGCCAGTGTTCTGAACTACTGAGCCATCACTGCACCTCCACTTAAGTTGCTTTTATCTTTATCATAGAAATAAGAAAAGAAACTAAAACAGCTTCATAACAGATTCCCTCAAAACAAGCCAAGCATTTTACACCTTTTGCCCCCATAGACTCACTCACTTGGAGCAACTTAGAAATGTAACTGACCAGTCCATGTTAGCCAGCAAGGGCTCCTTTTATTCATTCAGGAGTGGGCTTTTGAAATGCAGTGCAACTTTATAAAGTCGAGTGCCAGTAAAGCAAGCCGGCCAGGTGCAGAGTAGTGCAAGAAGCTCGCTGGAACCTTCTAGCCCAAGGGGCACCTTTGACACAAGCAGCCAAAGCTGCTGGCCAAGGAAGTGTCAAAAAGATCTCAGAATGAGATAAGGGTGCCTGCTCCATCCAAAGCTAGGGTCTGTCCATCTGTCCTTGTTGTGTACAACAATGTGTAAAACAAAACCCTTGAAAATATGTTCACACAGGAGCACAGTGCAGGTTCTGCTTGTTGTGGTTCTTGGTCTGAGAAGCGTCATGGCTGTGCATGAAAGGTCGGGCAGCTTCCATCCTTCCAAACACCAGGGCACTGTCATCTGCCGCTGGCCTTCCACTACCTTAGGGCTCTGCCAGCCAGGTCTTCACACAGGGGTCTCCTCTGCCACCTTTTTTAAGAGTCCAGCAGCCAGCAAGGAGTGGTGGGGGTCCTCGGAGCCATCTGCTTCCCGAATCTTCAGGCGGACTTTCTGATTGGTCTTCCTCCATTCTGAGTACAGCTGGCAGTGGTATCGGAAAGAGACCTGCGGGGGCAGTCCTGCAGTGGGTGGGAAGGTAGAGACAGGCCTCCACCCTGGGGGAGGAAAGGGGCCCCGGCATTTGCCATAGGCCAAACCTAGAAGCAGTACCACATCTGGGCATTTCCTGTAGACTGTGAATACACTCACCCGTTTGGTCCTCTGAGGATACTCTGATAAGCTTTGAGTCCTGTAAAAGTGAGGGATCCACCACCTTGAACCCAGCGAGTCCTGTAAAAGTGAGGGATCCACCACCTTGACCCCAGTGGGGAGCAAGGCTCTTCCCTCGTATGGCTGATGAGAATGGAGTCCTACCAGTCTCTTGGGATTATTTAACCGCAAGCAATCACACAATTGCCCAACCTAGAAGCAATCTGTCCCTTCATGGGTAAGAGAATAAAAATGATGGTATGTTTAAGGGACTGGGAAGATGGCTCAGTGGGTAAGAGTACTTGCTGTGCAAGCTTGAAGACCTGAGTTCAAATCCTCAGCATCCATGTAAAAAGCTGAGCATGATTCTGTGTTCTGTCACCCCAAAACTAGGGAGGGGAGGCTAGAACTCACTGGATGGTAACACTCACACACATACACAAATATACCCACACATACACACTCATAAATACAGACACACATGCTTACAAACACTCACACACACACAACACACAGAGAGGGGAGGGGAGAGAGAGAGACTAAAGGAAGTGAGAGCTGGAGCTACAGCTTAGTGGTAAAGTGCTTGTCAAGCATGTGAGAGGCACTGGATTCTACCGAGTACCATTTACCCTGCAGGAATGTGACCCCAGTTGCTCAGAAGACTAAAACAGGACAATCACAAGTCTAACATCTGTCAGGACTACAGAGTGAGTTCAAGGCCTGTCTGGGCAACTTATTGAGACACTGTTTCAAAATAATAACATAAAAAAGCAGCTGGGGGGGGGCTGGAGAGATGGCTCAGAGGTTAAGAGCACTGCCTGCTCTTCCAGAGGTTCTGAGTTCAATTCCCAGCAACCACATGGTGGCTCACAGTCATCTATACTGAGATCTAGTGCCCTCCTCTGGCCTTCAGAGATATATGCAAGCAAATACTGTATACATAATAAATAAATATTTTTTAAAAAAGCAGCTGGGAATGTAGCTTGGAAGTGGCAGCTTGCTTAGTATGTGAGAGGTCTGGGTTCAATCCTCAATATGGAACAACAACAAAAGCCATCAAGCCATGATGCAGCATGGAGAAAACAAATTCAAATAACCAACTGAAAGAGACCAATTTGAAGTGGCTACATGCTGTATGACTCCAAGTACATGACATTCCAGAAGAGGAAAAACTATAGAGACAGTAAAAAGATGGGTGGTTACCAGGGGTGCTGGAGTGGAGAGGGACAAATGGGTGGAGAACAGAGGGGCAATCGGAAGATGTACACTAGTGCTTGGCGGTGTAGCATAGTTGGGAAAGTGCCCAGCACTCACAAAGTCCAGGGTTCCACCCGACACCACATAAAGCAGATGTGGTGGTACACATGTGACATCCCAGTAGTTAGGAAGTAAGAGATGTGAGGATCAGGAGTTCAAGGTCATCCTGGACACAAGAGACTCTGACTGGGGAAATGGCTCAGTTGATAAAGCCACACTGTGCAATTGTGAGGATCTGAGTTCAAACTCCAATGCCTGCATAAAAACTGGACATCCTGGGATGTATGTGTAACACCAGTGCTGGGGGTTAGAGACAGGCAGATTTCTAGAGATCTTTGGCCATTCTGTCTAGCCAAAAAAATGTGCCCAGGTACAGTGAGAGACTCCGTCTCAAATAAAAGGCTGACCAGATGGGTCAGTGGGTAAAGGCCACTGTGATGGTTTGACAGAAAATGGCTCCCAAAGGGAGTGGCACTATTAGGAGGTGTGGCCTTGTTGGAGTTGGTGTGGTCTTGTTGGAGGAAGTATGTCACTGAGGAGGTGGACTCTGAGGTCTCATATATGCTCAAGATACTGCCCAGTGTCTCAGACTACTTCCTGTTGCCTATGAGTCAAGATGTAAGTAAGCACTTTCAGCTCCTTCTCCAGCACCATGTCTACCTGCATGCTGCCTTGCTTCCCACCATGACAATGAACTAAATCTCTGAAACTGTGAGACACCCAATTAAATGTTTTTCTTTACAAGAGCTGCTGTGGTCATGGTTGTCTCTTCACAGCAATAGAAACCCTAACTAAAACAAGCCATAAAGACTAGAACCTGAATTTGAGAGTCAGGACCTATATACAGTGTGGGCAGTGGAGCACCAACACTGATATGCTGTCATCTAACCAACACACACACACACACACACACACACACACACACACACACAAATATATATAATGTTATTAAAATTATTTTTAAAACACGGGCATTGCCAGGCGTTGGTGGCGCACACCTTTAATCCCAGCACTCGGGAGGCAGAGGCAGGGGGGTCTCTGTGTGTTCGGGGCCAGCCTGGTCTCCAGTTCGAGTGCCAGGATAGGCTCCAAAGCTACACAGAGAAACCTTGTCTTGAAAAACCAAAATAAATAAATAAAAAATAAAACACGGGTATCAAGCCAGGTGGTGGTGGCACACACCTTTAATCCCAGCATTTGAAAGGTAAATGCAGGTGGATCTCTGTGAGTTTCAGTCCACACTGGTATACATATCAATTTCCAGGCCAGCAAGGGCCACATCTCAAAAAATAAATAAGTAAATAAAAATAGTGAGCCAGGCAGTGGTGGTGCATGCCTTTAATCCCAGCACTCTGAGTTCCAGGCCAGCCTGGTCTACAGAGCAAGTTCTAGGACAGCCTCCAAAGCTACACAGAGAAACCCTGTCTCAGAAAAAAAAATTAAATAAAAAAAGTGGATGAGCTGAAGAGATGGCTCAGAGGATAAGGGTTCTTGATCCCATTTGATGACTCAAATTCAACCCCCAAGCCCTAATGGTAGAAGGAAAGAACAGACTCCTTCGAGCTGTCCTCTACAACCTCCACAGACATGTCACAGCACATGTGCTCTCTCACACATAACAAACAAAATAAGTGAATGTAATAAAAACTTTTACAAGTAAGATGGACAGCGATTGAGAAAGATACTCAATATCGGGCCCCCACATCTATGTACATGTGTGCACTTCTGCACACACATACCTATGAATACATAAAATACTCTGTGGGTGCTAGGGACTAACTCCATGGTAAAGCACTTGCTAAGGATACTCAAGTCTCCAGGTTCTATCCCCAGCACCACAGGAAGAAAAGAGGAAGAAGGAAGGGAGGGAGGGAAGGAGAGAAAAAGGAAAGGAGAAAGAACTTCATAGGTAGTGGCTCAAATTACTGTTAGCAACAGGGGGGAAAAATCCCCCACATTGCCAAAAGTCCCAGAGTTAGTCAAAGGGACTGATTAAATGGTGCACAAACACGATGAATAGTTATTCTGGGTATGCGCCCCCTTTTCTTTTTAAAGGATACTATCAAAGAATAAAAACAAGCAGGTATAAAACAGTACATATGTATTTTATGCTATTAATATATTTTAAAATGTGTCCCTTACGACAGGAATGCATCCTGAGAACTTGTTGTGCAAACAGTGGCAGTGCTTAAGATGCCTGAAACAGCACTAAACAATGTGAGCATGGTAGATCGTGTCTCTAATCCCAGCACTCAGGAAGCTGAACAGCACAACTACAAAGAGTTCAAGACCAGCCTGGGCTGAGATCCTGTCTTATAAAAGAGCCTGTCAGGGATGGGGATGAGGCTTAGTTGTGACAGCATTTACCTAAGTGTGTGGTAGCACATACCTGTCAACCATGTACTGGGAAGGTGAGAGAATTGGGAAGATCAGAAGTTCAAAGCAAAGCAAGCAAACAAACAAAAACAAAAAACAAACAAACAAAAGAACAAACAGAAGTTCAAAGCCATCATCAGCTATGTACTGAGTTCAAAACCTCTCTCTCTCTCTCCCTCCCTCCCTCCCTCCCTCTCTCCCTCTCTCCCTCTCTCTCTCTCTCTCTCTCCCTCTCTCTCTCCCCCTTCCCTCCCTTCCTCCCTCTCTCTTTCTGGGAACAACTTCTTTTTTTTTTTTTGGTTTTTTGGTTTTTCGAGACAGGGTTTCTCTGTGTAGCTTTGGAGCTTATCCTGGCCCTCACTCGGGAGACCAGGCTGGCCTCGAACTCACAGAGATCCGCTTGCCTCTGCCTCCCGAGTGCTGGGATTAAAGGCGTGCACCACCAACGCCCGGCTGGGAACCATTTCTTGATATGAAGAATGGCTCATAGCTGGTAAACAGGAAAGTGCAAGGACTTCCTCTCTGATCAAAGATGTCACTGCTTGTTTTAGTGGCACCCCTACTGTCTTAGTAATAGTCTAAGTGTTGTCTATGTCACCCCTCACCCTTTCCATTCTCTTCCATTCTTCTTTCTACTTTTAAATGTACTCTTATTACATTTTACAGTGTGTGTATGTGCACACATGTGCATGCACTGGTGTATGCACATGTATGGAGATGAGAGGATGACTTGTAGGAGTCAGCTCTCCCTCTCCACTGTGGAGATCCTGGGGACTGAAGTCAGCTTGTCAGCCTTAAAGACAATGGCCCTCACCCACCAAGCTATTAACTCACAACTATTTTTTTAGTTTAATTTTTCACCGGCATATAGAAACCAGTACATTTTGTAGGGTACCCTTTCCACACTCATTGTCTGTTTATTTCCTGTGCTAGGGCCTAATACATGCCAGCAAGGTTCCCTACCATGGGGCCATACCCCAACCCCTCAATTTCAATCAGTATGTCTCATATAATCTTTCCTGACTTATTTTGTCTTAAAAATTTTAAAAATATATATATTATTTTTGTTAGGGGGCCTTCGTGTAAAAGACAGAAGACAACTTTTCCGGAGTCAGTTTTCTCCTTCTACCTATGTGGGTTCTGGGGACTGCACTCAGGCTGCCAGGCTTGCCCAGCAAGCGCTTCCACCCACTGAGCCATCTTGCCAACCCTGTTTTGTTTTTTGAGACAGGGTCTCATGGAGTCAGGTTGGCCTCCAACTCTGATTCTCCTCAGTCAGGTGTTTGTGAACACACCTGGTGTATGTGGTGTTAGGGACTAGAACCCAAAGCTCCGGGCATGGCAGGAAGCACTGTATCGACTGAGCCATGCCCCAGCCCTTTATTTGGGCTTCAATCCCTCATTCTCTGCTCAATTTCTTTAGATGGGACTGTCCCATGTTGCCCAGACTGGCCCTGAGCTCCTGGAGGACTCATGCTCTGTCACTATCAGCTCCCAGTTAATTTCTTAATAGCTCTATCCTCATTTTTATTTATTTATTTATTTTCCTTTTAAGGCAGGGTCTCTCTATGTGACCCTGGCTATTCTGGAACTCTGTATGTAGACCAGGCTGGCATAGCCTCTGCCTCCTCGATGAGGGATTAAAGGCATGCCCCACCACACCTGGCCTTATTTATGTATTTGTTTACCTATGTATCTATTTATTTCATTTTGAGACAGGGTTTCACTGCACAGCCAAAACCAGCCTTAAATTTGTTAGCCATCACCCTGCCTCAGACTCCTGAGTACTGAGATTACAGGCAGCAAGAATCACTGCAGCTGGCTTCTGTCTTGTCTGTTTGTAGTGCTAGGGATTTAACCTAGCGGCTTGCACATGCACCCCTGAGGAATTTCTCTAGCCCTGGTTAAATTTCTTCGGGATTTTTCATCTATTTATTGTATGAGGTGGAGTGGGGTATAGATGTCGAAGTCAGAGGACAACTTGTAGAAGTCTGTTCTCTCCCCCAATGTGGGTCCCAGGAATTAAATCAGGTCATCGGGTTTGGCAGCAAATGAGGGCCATTTCATGTGCCCTCAACTTTCTTCTTCTTTTTTTTTTTGGGGGGGGGCAGGGCTGAGACAGAGTTTCTCTGTGTAGCTTTGGAGGCTGTCCTGGAACTCACTCTGTAGACCAGGCTGGCCTTGAACTCACAGAGATCCACCTGCCTCTGCCTCCCCTAGTGCTGGGATTAAAGGCGTGCACCACCAACGCCTGGCTGGAAAGCTTTTATTCTATATTTTTGATACATCTATATAGTTATTTCTGGGCCAGCATATGCCACGGCACCCTTATGGTAGGACATAACTAAGGGAGTCAGCCCTCACCTTCTACCACACAGTTCCAGGGAGTCAAACTTGGGGCCAGCTCCTTTACTGCTGTGATACCTCACCTGCCCTCAGTTACTTAATATGTACCTGCTCCACCTCACTCTCCCCCAATCTCCTCCTCGCCTCAGCCTTTTGCTGCTCTGTCCCCCTTCTTCTCACCCGACCCATCCTGATTAGATTTGGAGCAAAAGGTTCACTGTTGGCTGAGGGTGTCCCTGGACTGGTGTTACACTGCCAACCTGGAGCAATAGCCAGGGTGAGCTGAGGGACCACTTCCAGTGGAAGCAACACTCACTCAGAGCCCAGGGATCCCAGCTGAGCCCACCCACCTGGGCACACACACTCACCAGTGTCCAGAGCACATAGATGGTAAAAAGGGCGATGGTGAGGGCAATGAGCCCCACAGCCTCCAGCCGGCTGTGCAGACGGAGGTGGTCCTGGGCCCCTCGCAGGCATAGCCAGCCTGAGATGGCGGCCAGTGGTGTGATGAACACAAAGCACACCATGTCACAGCACAATGTCCGCTTCTCAGTGCGAGGCCCTGGGTCCTTCAACCACTGCAGGGGAGCAGATGAGGGAGAGGGGTTATGTGGAGGGTTGCTGCAGAAGGCATGGGATGGGGTGGGCTGTAAGTCTGGAGCGCGATCCTTTTTTGAAAAATAATACTGAGTCTGGTGAATGCTTGCCCCCATTTTACTGATGGACAAATGGAGGCAACAGAGGAGTTAACATATTCATGCAAATTCACAGAGCTAGAGCAGACTAACTATCCTATTCTGAAAATCCACAATCCAAAATGTTCTAAAATCTGAAACTTCTAAAACACCAGCAGATGAGTGGGTGGAGGAGGGTAACTAGAGAGCTGGGCCAGAAGTTAAGAGCACTTGCTACTCTTCCAAAGGACTAGAGTTCTGTTCCCACCATCTATGTCAAAGGCTCACAACCAACCACCTGTAACTCCAGGGGATCCCATGCCCTCTACTGGCCTCGGTGGGCACCTGCACACAAGTGAACACACACACACACACACACACACACACACACACACCCACACACACACACACACACACACACCCACACACACACACACACACACACACGCACGCACACACACACACACACACAGAGAGAGACATACACACATAACCTAAATAAAAAAATAAAAATAAATCCCTTTTTGTTTGTTTGTTTGTTTTCTGAGCCAGGGTCTCTTTATGTAGTCCTGGTTGTCCTGGAACTCGAAATGTAGACCAGGCTGGCCTCAAACTCACAGAAGTCTTGCCTCTGCCTCCTCAGTGCTGGGATTAAAGGTGTACATCACTATGCCCAGCTTAAAAACAAATCTTTAAAATGTCATCATGGCACTGCCAGTAGAAATTTCCATGCCATGAACTTGTTTTATATATACATCATCACCATGATCGCCATCACCATCACCACTGCCAGCACGACCAGAATCAGTGTCACCACCGTGATGGCTGTTCCTGTTTTCTGAGATAGGGTCTCAGGCAACCCACATGGACTTTGAACTTCTGACCTTTCTGCTCCTAAATGTTGAGAATGTATTACAATGTCCAGCTCCAAATTATTTAAAATAGTATATCTGGAGATATAATTTAATGGTACAGCACTTGCCTGGCATGAGTGAGGTCTTAGGTTCAATTACTAATACCACTCTAGAAAAGAAAGAAGCAAAGGGGATGGAGGTGTGGTGGCACACACCTGTAACCCCAATACTTGAGCAATGTAGGGAGAAGGATCATGACTTCAAGGTCAGCTTCTGAAAATTTGAGGTCCTCCTAGGCTATGTGAGACCCATCCTGGATACACAGACAGACATATAGAGGGGTGGGTGGAATGAGAGTGGCTCACATATGCTTGCTTATATATTTGAATGCTTGGTTCCTGGTTGGTACAACTCTTAAGGAATTGGGAGGTTTGGCCTAGTTGGAGGAGATGTTATCACTGGGGGCAGGCTTTCAAAAACCCACATTAAGCCAGGCAGTGGTGGTGCACGCCTTTAATCCCAGAACTCAGGAGGCAGAGGCAGGAGGATCTCTGTGAGTTCGAGGCCATCCTGGTCTACAAAGTGAGTTCCAGGACAGCCAGGGCAATTATATAGAGAAACCTTGTCTTGGGGGGGAAAAAAAGGCCACGTTATTCCCAGTTAGTCCTGCTCTGTCTCCTACTTGCAGAAAAACTGTAAGCTCTAAATACTGAGCCATGCCTACCTGCCACACACTCCCTGCCACGATGATCACGGACTCACCCTCTGAAACTGTAAGCCCCCAATAAACTCCTCCTTCTAAATAGTGAGTTCCAGAACAGCCAGGATTATACAGAGAAACCCTATTTCAAAAAACAATACAAAAAGGACTGATACATTTTTACATGTGTACACACATGTATGTATGTATATATGTGTGTATGTGCACTTGTATGTGGGTGCCATGAAGCCTAGATGAGGGAGTCAGATCTCTTGGACCTAGAGTTACAAGCAGCTGTGAGCAGCCTGATGTAGGTGCTGGGAATTGAACTTCAGTCCTCCAAAAAAACAATAAGTGATCTTACTGCTGAGTCATCTCTCTCCAGAGAGAGAGGTGGAAGGGAGAGAAAGAGAAAGAACTGACACCATATATGTTGACTCCATGACACTATGGGCTAGGGATGTAGTTCAGTGGGGGAATACTTGCCCAGTGTAAGCAAGGCCCTGGATTCCAAGCCCAGCAATACAAGAAAACAATTAACTGAAGTAAAGCATTGTATAAACCTACTTTCAGGATGAGATATCTATATATGAAATATGAGTGGGTTTGGATCCCAAATACCTCATATTATCCATGAAAACACTCCAAATCCTGAACTCTCAAAACTAAAATCACTCTGGTCCCAAGTTTTGGTTTTTTTTGGATTTTTTTTAAGATTTATTTATTTATTAAGTAAACACTGTTCTGCCTGCACACCAAAAGAGGGCACTAGATCTCATTATGGATGGTTGTAAATCACCATGTGGTTGCTGGGAATTAAACTCAGGACCTTTGGAAGAACAGCCAGTGCTCTTAACCTCTAAGCTATCTCTCCAGCCTAAAAGCTTTTTTTTTTTTTTTCAAGACAGGGGCTCATGTAGAGTAGGCTGAACAAATTCAACAATATACAGACAAAGCTGGTCTTGAATTTCTGAACCCCATGCCACCACCTCCTCAGTGGGATTATAGGTGTGTGGTACCATACAGGGTTTATGAAGGGCTAAGGATCAGATCCAGGGCTTTATATATGTTCCAGTCACCTCCCAAATGAACTACTGACCCCAGGCCTTGGTGTTATTCAGGCTGGATTGACTCTGTGATCCTTCTGTCTCTGAATCTTTGGCATATCTACCTGTGTGTGCTACCACAACCAGCCCAAGAATTTTGAATAAGGATTATTCATCCTGTAGCCCACAAATCCAGTCAGGACTAGAACCTAGATAGTGCTACTTGAAGGCCCAAGCACCCTTTGTCACTATGTCTTATAACCTCCCAAAGATGGTGGACCAAGAGAAACAAGTATAGCTCATAAAAAAAAAAATTCAGGGAAGGCAACAGAAAGGGGCCTGTTCTCCTATGCTAGTGAGGGACATATGACACAGGGAAAGTTGGGGGCAAGCAAGATGGCTTGGTAGGTAAAGCACTTGTCACACAAGGTTGATGACCTGCGTTCCATCCCAGAACCCACATAAAGGTAGGAGAGAACCAACTCCCTCCCTGCAGGTCATCCTCCACACGTGTACTGTGCCACACATGTGTGCACGTCCCTGCCTGAACATGTGCACACACAGAGCAAAGCAGTTTTTAAAAATGGGGAGGATGGCCAGGGAGTTAAAGGCCTTGCGAGTGGACAGAAGGGTGGGAAGGGAGACAGCACTCCAGACTACAGGAGCATCAGACACAAAGACCCTACCTCGGGGCCTTTTAAACTGGCATGCTGAGCTGAGTCAAGGGTAGGGGATGGTGTGTGTAGACATTGGTCCCTCTCACTGTCTCCTTGGAGCCCAGCTCCCAGGTGGACTGGAGGCTTTACTTAGGTCTCCCAAGCGACCTATAGTGGCCTTGACTGATATGGGCAGTACTTCCTGGTCTCAGGATTTTGCATTGCTTCTCACACTTCCCCCAGGTGAGATCTACTCTGGGGTTCTAAGCCATCGTATGACAGGGTGATATCAATAAAACAGCAAGTACCTGGGGACATTCACAATCCCAACTGTCATGCTCAGGCCAAAGTCCAAGTGTTTGTGTGCTGCACAAAGTCAGGTGTCACCACTGTCATCTCTCCTGAAGCCACTCTTTTCCTCCTCCCTATTTTTTTCCTTTGTGTATGTGTGTACATGTGTGTGCATGTGTGCACACATATCGGGGTACAAAGTGTCTGCATGGGAGTGTGTGCTGTGTGTGCATGTGAGTGTGGGCACACACAGCTTGTGGAGGATGATGTCAAGAACTATCCTCAATCTGTCCTCCACCTTATTCACTGAAGTTGGTTCTCTCAATCAAACCCTGAGCTCATGGATTCCTGCCTCCCCAGGCTATAATTACAAGCAGCTGCCACACCTATCTGACATTACCATGCATTCCAGGGGGTCTGAACTCCTGATCCTCATGCTTCCAGGGCAATCACTTTAACCACTCAGCCGTCTTGGTTTTTTTTTTTTTTTTTTTTTTTTTTTTTTTTTCAAAAAAATCAAACAAAATATCTCAGATTTTGTTCGCTTATTCCCAAGAGTAGTGTAACACAAGAGGTCTCATATAGCCCAGGTTGGCTTCAAACCCCCTATGCAGTCAAGGATGACCTCCCAGTTCTGATCCCCTTGCCTGTACCTCTCAAGTGCTGGAATTCTTACAGGATTCTGCAGACTGAACTCAGGGCCTCCTGTATGCCAAGTGAGCATTCCACCATGCGCTACAGCCCCACCTCTTTTCTTAGCTTGACCTATTCCTCCTGGCCTTAGGGCCTTTTACTGCTGTGTTCTCTGCCAGGACTAGTTTCTTCCCAGGCTCTCTAAATTCCTGTTTTAATCCCTCAGGTCTCAACTTGGGGATTCACCTCCAGTCAAAGCCTCTCCCTCACCGGCACACGCTCAATCTTTGTGTATGTTTGTGGGTTGGTTCATGAATCCAGGAATGCATGTTTGAAATATGGTCTCCTGATGTTTTCCTCTTGTATATACCAGGCTGGCTGGCCAGTGAGTACCCAGGGATTCTATCTCCACCTCCTATCTTGCCTCAGGAACATGAGGAATACAGAAATGAGCTACTACACTTGGCTTTATGTGGGTTCTGGGGATTTGAATTCAGGCCTTGTGCCTGTATGGTAAGTATTTTATACACTGGGCTATTTCCCAGCTCCTAAGACTGCTCTTGATCCCTAAATGTTGCTCTGTACACACCCCACTCCTTCAACATTTCCTTTTGGGATGTTTGGTGTCAATGGTCAAACTGACAGAATCTGGAATCCTGGGATGGGAGTCTCAGGAAGGAGTGTCCAGGTCAGGGTGGCCTGTGGGCCTGCCTGCAAGGGATGTTCTTAATTGCATTAACTGAGGTTACTAAGAGTAACATTAACTCTTAACTGTTCCTACCAGTCTGTTTGGAGATCACATGGACATTATCAACAGTGGGTTGGTGACTGGGGAGTCCCAACACCTGACAAAACACTGGGAACATCAGAGGTGTTCAAATGCTTGGTGATCTGAGCTTCATGGCACATGCCTGTAACCCTGGTACCCAGAGGAGGCTGAGACAGGAGGATTCTAAGCTTTGGGCCAGCTGGGGCATAGTAGGTAGGTAGATATTTGATAGATTGATGAATAGATGAATAGATGGGTAGAGAGAGAGAGACAGAGAGAGAGAGAGACAGACCTGGTGAGATGGCTCAGCAAGTAAAGGCACTTGCCAAGCCTGACAAATTGAGTTTTATCCCAGGTCCCACATGGGGAAAAGAGATAGCTAATTTGTGCATGTTGTCCTCCGACCTACACACATGTAATTAATTTTTAACATATTTTTAAGGGACTGGAGAGATGGCTCAGCAGCTAAGAGCACTGACTGCTCTTACAGAGAACCACAGTTCAATTCCCAGCACCCACATGGCAGCTCACAACTGTCTGTAACTCCAGTTCCAGGGGACCTGATACCAATAGCAAAACACCAATGCACATAAAATATATATAAAAAATTTAAGAAGAAAATAAGCTGGGCAGTGGTAGCACATGCCTTTATTCCAGAACTTGGGAGGCAGAAGCAGGTGGATCTCTGAGTTTGAGGCCAGCTTGATCTACAGATCAAATTCCAGGATAGCCAGACCTATACAGAGAAACCCTGTCTCAACCCCTCCTCCCAAAAGAAGAAAATAATAGCATAGTATGGTGATGCACACCTTTAATTCCAGCCCTTGGGAAGCAGAGGCAAGCTGATCTCTATGAGATCAGCTTAGTCTTCACAGAGTGCTAGGTCAGTTCTAGAGCTACTTAGAGAGACCCTGCCTCAAAAAAAAACAAAGCAAGCTGGGTTGGTGGTGCATGCCTTTAATCCCAGGCAGAGGCAGGCAGATCCCTGTGAGTTCAAGACCAGCTTGGTCTACAAGAGCAAGTTCCAGGACAGCCTCTCCAAAGCCACAGAGAAACTCTGTCTAGAAAAACCAAAAAACAAACAAACAAACAAACAAACAAAAAAACAATCAGAGAGGACAGAAGGAGATGGAGAGAGAGAGAGAGAGAGAATATGACAGAATGAGGTTTGCAGACCTGCAGCCTCTGGTCAGTCAGGTTCCCACAAACAGCAGATCCCTCCCAGCACTGGCAGGGACATAATCAGCTTCCCCGGCTAAGCCTGAGCAGCTACCTCTAGTCCCCAAACTGCCCTTCTTCCTTTCTGGATGCCCAGTCTTCCCCCCAGCAATATACCTCTGTGAGAGGTCGGGGCCGCTTTTCAACTGCAAACTCAGTGTGGCACAGCTCGCAGTAGCTGGTATTGGAGGAAGACAGCCACTTCTCCAGGCAGCTCTTGTGCACAGCTCCCAGCGTGCCGGTACAGCCACATGGGGACAGCAAGTTCTCTCCATTTGCTCCCTCATGGCAGATTCGGCAGAAGGGACAGTCACTGGAAAGATACAGAGTTAAGACTTGTGAATGATAGATGGTGGGGCTTCTTGCTTATACCAGCATCACTGCAAGCTCACTGTCTCTCCCACCCTCACCCCAGGTTGCTGTTTGGTAAATTACTACTCAACTTTCAGCAACCCAGCTCCAGATGTCCTCTTTTCTGATAGTTTTTTTTCAAACTCCCATTGGTGGGCCATGTGTTTCCTCCCCAGAGCTATTGCGGGCCCTTTTTAGCACAGAGTGAACATCCTGTTCACCTGCCTGCCTAATGCTCTCCTTTTGATGAAATGCTATCATGATATTCCTAACTATCCACTCTTGATGATCCCTCTGATGGTTTATACTGTCAACCTGACAGGATGTAGAATAATCACCTTGGAGACAAATCTCTGGGCATGTCTGTAACAGATTTTCTAAATTAGGTTAACAGAAGTGGGAAGACCCATCAGAAACATGGACTGAACATAAAGGAGGAAGCAGGGACACAGATGGCTCCGTGGATAAAGGTGCTTGCTGGTAAATCTGATGGCCTGAGCCGAATCCCTGGGACCCACATGCTGGAAGAAGAGAATGGACTCCTCAGGCTGTCCTCTAATGTCCACACATATGCCATGGGATGCACACAGGGGTATGTATACACCCACACGCTAATAATTTTTAAAGGAAAAAGCAAATTGAACACAAACATTCATCTCTCTGAGTCCTAAGCTTCCTCATTATGGGTGCAACATGACCAACTCCTCAGATGCCGGTGCTGCTGTGACTTCCCAGCCACGATGGACAGACAGCAGCTTGGAATTATGATTCAAAACAAACCTTTCCTTCCCTAAGATGCTTCTGTCAGGTTTGTCACAGCAACACAGCAATTAACTGATATGGTCCAGTCCTCAAGGACTACAGTACACGCACAATCACACACACACACACACACACACACACTAACACACACACACACACACTAACACACATCACACACAAAATTATACACACATACACTAACACACATCACACACAATTATACACACATCAAACACAAAATTATACACACATACACTAACACACATCACACACACAATAACACAATATACTAACACACATCACACACACAATAACAATATACTAACACACATCACACACAAAATTATACACACATACACTAACACAAATCACACACACCATTACACACATACACTAACACACATCACAAGCACAATTACATACACATACACTAACACACATCACACACACAATAACACAATACACTAACACACATCGCACACAAAATTATACACACATACACTAACACACATCACACACACACAATTATACACACATACACTAACACACAACACACACACACAATTACACACATACACTAACACACATCACACACAATTACACACACATACACTAACACACATCACACACACCATTACACACATACGCTAACACACATCACAAGCACAATTACACACACACACTAACACATCACAATACAATTAAACACATACATATCAACATATATCACATTCACATGATTATGCACACATATATTAACACACATATTATTACACACACATATACTAATACATACCACACACATAAGATTTTTGAAAAAAAAAAAACATTATCAACATTCCTGGCTCTATCTATGCCTAAAGGTCACACTGTCTGACAAACCTGTGCATATGAGAAAAATCACTCATTTGTTTTTCTGTGTGTGGCTGAGGAAGACAAGGGGTAGGATGGGCAAACAGACATAGAAACCATCCATAACAGCTGCTTTGGGGAGTCTCTAAACACAGACCAGTCTCTGGGGAAGTTGAGTTCTTCCTGGGTCAGCTCCAGAAGGAAGGAGGTGTGGCTTCAATAGACCCATGGGCTATCCAATACATGAGTCATTGTTTTCTAAACATTTCTGCCCAGAAAGAAGCATATTGTCAGGAACACACACACACACACACACACACACACACACACACACACACACACACACACACACCCTCTCATTCTGGCCATGTGAGCATTTGCTTATAGAAGCAAAAGCAGGGGCTGCTCAGTAAAACACTGGTCCCTTCAGCCAAAACATAAAAGGTCACAGGACAGGACTCCCTCTTCCGGAAACCAACTCAGGGAAAGGAAGCAGTGAGACTCTTAAGAGTCACATCAGCTCAGCTTCTTCTGGGAAGCCCTGGAAGCTATGGAACAGCAATCGTGACAAAGGCAGAAAGGGTGTAAGCTATTGTTTACTGAGCACTCCCCATGTGGGAGTCACTTCTGGGGGCATTTTGTTTTGTTGTTTATTTTATCAGGTGTGTGTGTGTGTGTGTGTGTGTGTGTGTGTGTGTGTGTGTGTGTGATGACACATGGGTGGAGGTCAAAAGACAACCTCCTACCTTGTTTGAGGCAGGGTCAATGTTCATATGTGCCAGGCTTGCTCCAGGCTTCTGTGGCTTCACCTGTCCCCACCTCCACCTCTCTGCAGGAGTGGGTAAAGCCTTGCAGGCCAGAGTACCATGCCTGGATTTCTATGTGCATTCTGGGGATTTGAAGGTAAGTTCTTATGCTTACATGGCAGGCCTTTTACCCATTGAATCATCTTCCCAAGCCTGTTTTTATTTATTTTAAGACATGGTATCCAGGGCTACACAGAGAACCCCTTTCTTCAAAAACAAACAAACAAAACAAAACAAAAAGACATGGTTAAATTATGTAGCCCTGGCTGTCCTGGAACTCATTATGTAGACCAGACTAGCCTCAAACTCATAGAGATCCGCCTGCCTCTGCCTCTCTCAAGTGCTAGGATTAAAGACGTATTCCACCCACCCAACTTCAGGCTATTTTGTTTGTTTTTAGACAAGGTCTCATGTGGTCCACATTGGCCTCTAACTTGTCACCATAGCTGAGGGTAACCTTGAATTCCTAGTCCTCTCGTGTCTACCTCTCCAGTCCTGGGATACCAGGCATGTGCCACCATGCCTAATTTTGTTTTTATATTTACTTATTTATATTTATTCAGGGGAAGAGTCTCACTATGTAACCCTGGCTGGCCTGGAACTTGTTATATAGACCAAGCTAGCCTTGAACTCACAGAAACCTGTCTGTCTCTGCCTCCAGAGTACATGTGCCACCATGCTGAGTTGTTTTGCTTTTTGAAACAGGGTCTCAGTGGCACTCACTACATAACCCAGGCTGGACTTGGGTTCACTGTGTTGCACAAGCCAATCTCAAACTGATGTCTCTCTCCCCTTGGCTCTGCCTGGTTCCAGAGCTGTGGCTGTAGGCTATATTCTAAGTGCAATACTGGGCTCCAGAGCTGTGACTATAGGCTATATTCTAAGTGCAGTACTGGGCTTCATTGGTCTCATTTTCATAATGAGCCTCAGAGGAAAGTGCTTACTTGCTTCTACTTTACAGATGTTAAAAAGTCCAAGGAAGATGGGCAATGTGGCACACATCTGTGGTCCCAGTACCAGAAGGTACATAACAAGCTTGGGGTCAGAATGGGTTACATGGAATCCTGTCTTCAGAAAGAAAAAAGAAAAGGAAGGAAGGAAAGGGAGGGGGAGGAAAGGAGAAAAGGGAAGTGGGGGAGAAGGGAGGGAATGAAGGCCTGAAGTTTTAACCTCTGTGTGTGTGTGTGTGTGTGTGTGTGTGTTTGTGTGTGTGTGTGTAGTGAGAGAGAGAGAGAGAGAGAGAGAGAGAGAGAGAGAGCTAGAGATGACTTACAGGTGCATGTGCCTGTGCACATGTATGTGTAGGCCAGAGTGCCACATAAGATATCTTCCTCTATGGGGTCACTCACAGAACTGGAAGTCTGCCTTTTCAGCTTGGCTAACAAGCTCTCAGGATCTGCCTGTCTCTCCCACCCAACTCGCTGTGGTTGGTTCTATCTTTCCACATTTATATGTGCTCCAAGGGTTGAACTCAGGTTGTCAAGCACATGTGGCCAGTTCTTTACACACTGAGCCATCTTGCCAGCAAAGCATCTTCGGCTGCTGATCCTTTCAGTTACAGTGGGCTCCTTAGAACACACCTTCATTATGGACAGAGGCAGCAAGTCTAAGAGGTGCTAGACTATACAATACATGGGAGGTTCATGAAAGGGAACTCTACAGTGCTATGGGGAGTCATCATCACCCATGCTGGGTACCCATGCTCCTGTAAGTAACCACCCATCCATGTTCTCTAAGTAACCCCAGTAAACTGAATGGTCCTCACAGCTAGACTTTGGTGGAACAGACTTTAGTTTGTCATTGGTGCCCTGTCTTCTGGGGATATTGAGGGAGGAAACAAACACTTGTTCATATCTCCCCAGGAAAAAGTTCAAGAAACAACTTTCAACACTTGATCTTCGGATTTCCCATCACCATCTGGAATTTTAGTGCTGAAAGAGAATCCATGGCTTTGCCCATACTAATCAAGCACTCTATCATTGAGCCATATCCCCAACTCCAATTTGTCCATCTATTAGTAATTTTGAAAAAAAAGAAAAAGATGTTGCTATGTAGACTAGGATGGTCTCAAACCCTCTGTAGCCTAGGCTTGCCTTGAACTTTAATTCCCCTGCCTCAGCATTCAAGTACTGGAATTTAAAAAACGTGTTCTCTGTGTGTGCTTGTGTAGGTGTCCAGATGGGTGCTGGTGAGCATGCATGTGTATGCAATGCTGGTGGAGCCTCAGGTGTCATTCATCAGGAGCCATTCACTCGGTGTATTAGACAGAGTCTCCCACTGGCCCAGGGATGTCTACCTTGTTTTTTAAATTACACTTTATTTATTCACTTATTTTGTGTGTGTGAGTTGACTGGTGGGTATGTATGTGCCAGGTATACATGTGGAGGTCAGAGGATAACTTTCACGAGTTGATTCTCTCCTTCCACCATGTGCTCCCCAGGGGTCTAACGCAGGTTGACCATCAGGCTTTTACCCACTGAGCCGTATCACTGGATGCCATCTTGGTTTTCGAGCCAAGGTCTCTCACTGGCTGGGCTACCTGGCCAGCAAGTCCCAGGGATCCACTTCTCTCTGCCTCTCCAGTTCTTCAATTATAAACATGTGTCTCCATGCTCAAATTTTGTGTGTGCATGTGTGTGTGTGTTCCTATTGTAAAATATTTAACTATGTAAATATGTATGACATTTGTTTATGCTGTGGGCTATTACTTTAACTGTGTAAAGCTGTGTTACATTTGTTTTTACTGCATTTGTTTAACTATATAAAGATGTGTAACTTTTGTTTTTGCTGAATTTGTTTAATTATGTAAAAATGTATTGCATTTGTTGCACCTTGCCTGCTTAAGGCAACTGATTGGTCTAATAAAAAGCTGAATGGCCAACAGCTAGGCAGGAGAGAGAGAGGCAGGGCTGGTGGGCAGAGAGAATAAGTAGGAGGAAAAACCTAGGCAAAGGAGAGAAGGAGGAAAGAACGAGAGAAAAAGAGAGAGACACACTGGAGGTCAGAAACCAGGCAGGCACCAGCCAGACAGACACAAGAAGCAGGGAAAGTAAAGTATGCAGAAGGAAAGGTAAAAAGCTTGAGGCAAAATGTAGACGAAGAGAAACAGGGAAAGTTATAAGAGCTAGTGGGACAAGCATAAGATAAGGCTGAGCATTCATAATGAATAACAAGTCTCTATGTCATCATTTGGGAGCTGGTTGGTGGCCCAAAAGAAAAGCCTGGTACATGTTCCTGTCTGTGTGCATGTGTGTATGTGTGTGTGAAGGCCAGAGGTCAATATCAGGCACTGTTCTTCAGGGGATGCCCACCTTGTTTTTTAAAGAATGGTCTCTAGTTGGCCAAGCACTGACCAGTTAAGGTGGGCTAGCAGAGAGCTCCAGAGATCTGCTTGTCTCTGCCTGGGATTACAACACAGGCTATCATGCCCAGCATTTTACATAGATTCCAGGGATGAATCTTGGGTCTTCAAGCTTGCATAGCAAGCACTTTATTGACTGGCCCATCTCCCTAGCCCCATTTAAAGACATATTCCAGCACACCCAGTTATTTGGCCTTTTTAGAAATACATTTTTTAGATGGGTGTTGGTGACACATGCCTTTAATCCCAGCACTCAGGAGGCAGAGGCAGGTGGATCTCTGTGAATTCGAGGCCAGCCTGGTCTCCAGAGCAAGTGCCAGGATAGGTTCCAAAGCTAACAGAGAAACCCTGTCTCAAAAAACATATATATATTGTTTGTCTCTATGGGGAGGGAGTTCCCAAGGAGGCCAGAAGAGGGTGTTGGATCCCCTGGAGTTACAGACAGCTGCGAACTGTCCTTTGCTGTTGCTGGGAACTGAACTCTTGGGTCCTCTGCAAGAGCAGCAAGCACTCTTTGACCACTGAGCCATCTCTCCAACCTCAGTATTTGGCTTCTTTTCTTTGGCATGTTCACCCCTTTGCCTCTGTCAGCGACTGAACCCCTGATCTCAGACTAGGAGAAAAATCACTCAACCCATAGAGAAATGTCCAAAAGCCAGGATGCTAATGGTCACTACTCACCTTGGTGTGTCCAAAGCCCGGATGACAGTTGAGAGCAGCCGGCCATCCCTTGAAGTCACCTGTGCCACATATTGGGGTGGCCCAAGGCCTGTGGCCTCCACAACCTTGGAGAAGGCAGGGCTGCCAGAGCAGTCGCATAGGGAGCCAGGGAGGTGGCAGCAGTCACCTGTCGTCATGGCCACAGGGAGCCTCCTGTCCTCAGGGCCTGAGGCCCATGGTCCCAGGAGCCTGAGGGGAGGCCAGCAAAGAGATCAAAAGCAAAATATGTGAGTCACAAAAAAAACGTTGAGTTACCTCTTTTTTTTTTTTTTTAGGTGTGTACATGTGCTTGCAAGTGTATGTGTGAGTGCAAGTGAACATATGCCAAGGCACATCAGCGGTCCAAGAACACCCATGCCTTCCACCTTGTTTGAGACAGTCTCTTGTTTTCTGCTGTGTACACAAGGCCAGCCGACCCCCCCACCCTGGCTTCCAGAAATTCTCCTGTCCCCACCTCCTATTTCATAGTACTAGGACTGGGATTACATGTAAGGCCTATTGTACCTGGCTTTACATGGGTTCCGGGCATATAAACTAAAGTCCTCACATTTGTGCAGCCAGCCTTTACCCACAATGTGGTCTCCCCAGCCTGAGTGCCTCTTTTGATCTTATTCTATAGCTGGGCTAGCCTGGAACTTAAGAGCTAAGCCTTCTGAATGCTAGATTTTAGACCATGCCTGGTTCTTGAGTCCCATCTTGTCAGGGATTGTGATGGTCATTTAGTTGTCAAACTAACACAATCAAGAATCATCTGTCAAAGGGGCTCTCATGAGGACTCGTCTAGACTAGGTTGGGATGTGGTTGTCCTTTTAAGGGATTTTCTTTCTTTTTAAATTATATTTGTTTTGTCAATGTTTATGTATGTGAGCATGTATGTACCACAGCATGCATGTGGAGGTCAGAGGACAACTTGCAAAAGTCAGTTCTCTTCTTCCACAATATGGGTCCTGGGGGTTGATCTTAGGTCATCAGGCTTGGTGGCAAGTGTTTTTACCTGTTTAAACAAACAGAGTCTCTCTTACCTAGGTATTTTCCTTCCTTCCTTTCTTCCTTCCTTCCTTCCTTGTTTCTTTTTTTGAGACAAGGTTTTTCTGTGTAGCCTTGGCAGTCCCAGAACTAGATCTGTAGACCAAGCTGGCCTTGAACTAACAGAGATCTTCCTGCCTCTGCCTGTAAAGTGCTAGGATTAAAGACTTGTGCTACTATCACCGGGTCCCCCTCCTTTTTTCCTAATCCATGGTTTGTTTTTATGTTTTTACACAATTTCATTTTTGTTTTGCTTTGGGTTTTTTGTTTGTTTGTTTGTTTGTTTTTTGAAACAAAGTTTCATTGTGTAGCCCTGGCTCTCCTGGAACTATGTAGACCAGGTTGGCCTCGAACTCACAGAGATCCACCTGCCTCTGCCTCCTGAGTTCTGGGATTAAAGGTGTGTGCCACCACTGCCTAGCCCTAAGTATTCCTTAATTGGTTAGTGGAGGTAGGAAGACTACACACTGGACTGAGTGAAAGGGCAGAATGAGCTGGGCGCTATCCTGCATGCATTCATGGCTCTCTTTTCCTGATTATAAATGTGACATGATGAATGCCCTCCAACTCTTGATGCTGTGACTTCCCTGAAATGATGGCCTGGAATCTGGAACTGTGAACTAAAGTAAATCCTCTCTTCTCCGCTGAGTTGCTCTTGTCACAGTATTTTATCAGTGCAATAGAATTGACACTAAGGCAGGGCTCTAAGACTTGCCTCTTTGGAATCTCTGCATCTGCAAAAGGTAGATGCAAGAACTCTACAAGCTAACACACACAACTTACTAGACCAGGCTTGCAGGACAGCTAGGGCTTCTGTTGGATTTTCTCTCAGTATTCTAGGGAAAGCCAGGCATGCCCCCACTTCCAAATCCTGCAAAGCAGCCTCTATGTCACATTTGCACACATAGGAACAGCAATTGTAAGTAACTGCACACCCTACTGTGTGCTGGGCCCTTCGTAGTCAGAACCATTCTGTTCTAGATAAAACCAAGCCGGGTAGTGGTGGCATATGCCTTTAGTCCCAGCACTCAGGAGGCAGAGGCAGGCAGATCTCTGTGAGTTAGAGGCCAGCCTGGTCCACAGAGCGAGTGCCAGTACAGACTCCAAAGCTACAGAGAAACCCTGACTTGAAAAACAAAACAAAAGCCTAGCTAAGACCAGATCCTAAAGACTGCATTAAAAACACATTAAACTGTCTTTAACAAAGAGAATGCATCTAGAGAGGCTGGGAGCATGATTCAGAGGTAGAGTACCTGCCTAGAACCCAGCAAGGGCCGAGGACAGATGGAACAGCAGTGAAGTACTGCCCTAGCATGTGTGAAACTCTGGGTTCAATTCCCAACACACACACACACACACACACACACGAGGGCAGAGGAGGGGGAGAGAGAGAGAGAACTACAAACTTAATGTTTTCCACTGTACCAAAATGGTGAGTCACTCAGGCCCCTTGTGACTCACGGCCTCTGTCGGACTGTGCACTCTAGGAGACCTCAATTCATCAAGGAAATGACACATGTTTGTGTCCCCAGCAGACAAGTTGCTCTGTCCTCAGTTCACAAGGAGAGGCTGGCTACAGTAAACAGTGAATGCCTCAAGTAGCCATTCTAAAGTCTGCTCTGTGTGACTTTGGTAGAA